ACAGTTTATATTAATTTGTCAGGTGTTTAGTGGCAATGTTTAAACATTAATTTGCATTACATTTACGCAAACAGACTGATAATAGGACTTAAAAAATAGCTTTTAGTGTTTTTATTTTGTATATCTCTGTGTGTATCTGTTAACAAAATATCTCATGCTGCACTGGACGGATTTCAGTGAAACTCTGAGAAAGTAATCATCAAATGTATACATCTACTACCGATTACAGTTTGAGGCCAGTCCAATTCAAGATGGACACCACAGTCAACTCGCTTAAGAAACCATCAAACTGGCTATAACAGTCCGTTTACAGACACTGAGCTCAAATTTGGTGTGTCATTTACAGCACATGTTCCTAGGCCTGTCGCGATAACAAATTTTGCTGGGTGATTAATTATCTCAGAAATTATTGCGATAAACAATAATATTGTTTGAAATTTGACAGTAATTAGTAATTGTCAAATTTAAGAAAAAATGTTTAATTTGTTTTGCATGTAGTACCGTTAATCAACCACATGAAGGCAGTATAAGACTGTTTGAATTGAAGGATGGATAGTAAGGGAGTGAGCAGCGTGTCTCTTTAAGAAAAATGGGAGGGAGGCCCCTTGACGTGACATGGGCTGTCTCTCTTCGGTTCTCAAAATGGCGTACGCTCGGTGTGGTTTGAGCTCTTTAGCATAGCATTTTTCCACACAAAGCTTTTAATAAAAAATCAGTAAACAAGTTCTCTGCTTCTTTTTGCAGAGAAAAACAACTTTTTTTTATATATTCCAAAATTGTGCAGCAATATAGTTTAAAATTTATGTATTAAATGTCGTAGTCAACCCTGTTTGTCTGTTAGTAAAGTATCTCATGAACCACTGGACAACTTTTAAGGAAACTATCGGGAAGTAATCTTTGAATGTACGTCTATACTCTGATTACTCTCTGGAATCAATTCAAGATGGTTGTCACAACTAATCCACATTGGCCAATACAAAATGGCTGTAACTCAGTCTATCTTACACATATAGAGATTCACACAATACATGCTCTAAGTGTGGCATCTGTCAAAATCCCTTTAGATTGCACAAAATGTTATTTTTAAAGGTTGAACAAAATGGCTACTACTCTGATGATCTTCGTCTAAAACTCTGGGATGAAAAGCAGTGGGCGACATGCATTCCTTCAATCAGGGCAAGGCCTTTAGTTTCTATTAGGAGTTAATGCCGGTATTATAACAGCATAGTTTCCTCCAAATCTTCCATGTTTTACTTTACTGGACAGTTTCAGCACCAACTTTTAGTCGGATCAGATGAGAAGTTTGTGAAACCGCACAAACTTACAGTTTTCCCATAATATAATAAAGCAACTCTGTGCATCTCACTGCAAGATTGTCGAGTACCTCAGATATTCATAATTGTTTATGATGCCAATCAAGGTGAAACTGCAAGCTTTACACTTGGGTTTTGTTTATGTCTGCAGTTGTAGATACACAAAGTCAGCAGTGTGGGGCTGATTGCGTAACCCTTTGGGGCTCTGGTGTATAGGAGGTGCAAGTCTCAAGCTGAACTGTCAAATATCTGGGAGGAAGTTTATTAGCAGTGCGGTACTTTCACGAACGGAAAGATTTATTGAATGCAGAGCTGAAATCAACAAACCACATTTTCACGTAGAAGTTATTAGTTATAGAGAAGAGCTTTGGAATATTGGAGATCCTCTGGATCTGCTGGCTCATATTGCTCATTGGCTGGCATCTATTTTTGTTCTGTTGTGTTTACAGGAATTAAACTTTATACATGCCAAACAACCACAAGGTGGGGGACATTAAGACAAATAGACTTGGTAGGTGAGTTTGAGCAACATAAAAACTGTATCAAGCAAATTATTGACTCTACAAAAAAATCAGTTTTAAAATAATTTGATTGCTAAACATTGTTAATACATGGATTCACTAGTTTTTTATTTATTTATAGAATGACCACATTTTAATATGAACCAAGGTTTACCACGCTCTAAATAGTTTTGTCTTGGATGATTTGTTGTCTCCATCGCAGCACGAAGAGGGGGACTTTAAATTACCCTCTGCCCGTGGAAACTGTGCTTTCTTGTTTTTATATTACTCAAAAGTATAGTTTCCGCAAAAGACTGGGTTGGTTGATGCGGTGGCCGAAGTTAAACGTATGGTGGCCAAGGCCACCATTGCCCACCCACCGGCGTCACCAACGCACCTGATGGGGAGTATGGTAAAATTGCTTCCTCTGTTCACAAGGCTCCATCACTCTGCTTTGCCTCAGACAAGAAAAAAAAAAAAACCTCTGTTCTTATACACACGGTAACTCCTACCCACTTGAATGTCTTGCTTCAAAATATTAAAGTTTACTTTTATTCTTTATTCAGTTGAATTCTGGAAAAATACGTCTAAAAATGAAATGAAGACAACACAATCTGCATGCTTCCTCCCTTCCTTAGATAGATAACTTTACTAATTGGTTTATAATGTATGTGAATGTTTTTGTTCAGTGCCCTGGCCCTAAATAACTTCTGTTGTGACTTGGCACTATATAAATAAACTGAATTGAATTGAAAACTATGAACATTCACTATTCAAACCCCTCAGTGACAAGGGAACATCTGTTTACCGCTTGTTGCCATTAAGTTGTAACCATTTGGTCACAGCAGATTAATTTCCAGTTTTTGTACTCTGAGTCTTATTTTAAACATTTTATTTTTAAACATCCTGGCTGAGGTAATGTTTTAAACAGTTTTCTTTCTGTAATTTGTATTTTTTAGTGATCAGACAGAGGACAAGGTGTAGAGCTCACTGACCATTCTTGGAAAGTCTTCGAGTTTTGTGCTTAACGGGATGTCTTGCTTCATTTTTGTTTTGAAAATAAAGACGTAGCATTTCTTGAAGGAATGCATATTGCTTGCCGCCTTTAATGGCCGAGTTTTAATCTCATGATAAAGTTGGTGTGGTAGCTATTTTGGCCAAACCTTGTAAATGACATATTGCACAAACTCATGATCCTGTGAAATACGTTAGTGCTAAGAGTATCTGTTGGTGAGGACTATCTGCAGCTACCACATCAAATTTAGTTCAGTATTGATAATTCAGAATTTTACTACCGTACTTTTTGCTGTATAAGTCGCACCTTTTTGCATAAATTAGTGTGCCTTGTGACTTATACAGCAAAGTGACTTATTTATGTTTTTTCCCCCATATTTATAAACCAATTTTTGGCTGAGATCTGACGTTTTCATTCATTCTGACATGGAAAATATCAAACACTACCATTTTCAGCCGCTAGAGGGCCCTCGAATAATATGGCAAGCCAAATGTCCCATTAATAGGTAAAAGTGGCTATTAAAGAAACACTTGGCTTGCCATACCAAGCCACCTTCATCTTGTTCTGGAACTCCTGGAGCAAACATCAAATCAGCTGCATTTCACTGCGCCGCCGAGGCGAAATGCAGCTGATTTGACCATTAAAGTGCATTTATTAAGGAAAAGTTCAACTGAGGCACACCTTTACTATAATGTCGAGCAAACAAATAATTGTTTTATATGTATATCTCGTTAAATTTCGAAGAAATGCACAGTGAGTCCTCCCTCTGCGCGCTCCCGGATCGGCGAATTGGCTTCTGAAATGCAGCTGATTCGACCGTCAAAGTGCGTTTATTAAGGAAAAATTAGACTGAGACACACATTTGCTATAATTTTGAGCAAACAAATAATTGTTTTTAAGTGTTAATCTTGTTAAAATCCTCCCGTGCACATGCTCCTGCAGCCGCCATTTGGCAGCCCATCGATTTTTGGCACAACACCGGCCCACGTTTCCCGGTGGTCAGCGGTGACGCATAATAGATGCGACTTATACGGCGTAGCAACATATTTGTTTTTTTTCCACTTTATTAGACATATTTGGACTGCTGCGACTTATACGGCGGTGCGACTTATACGGCGGCAAGTACAGTAAATAAGACAATTTTGAGTTGGCTTTTGTCATTTAGCTGTGCTTGGGTGACTTCTAAAGTTAGTCAACTGTAGATGTACATCCAATGGTAATTTCTTAAAGTTTAATTATAATTCTTCTAACTGTACTGTCAAATGTATGCGTACAGACAAGAACATAATCACCCATTCGCCTTTGGCGCCAGGTGATAAATATGCCAAATTCTGTCCATCCATCCATTTTCTATACCTATTTAAGCCTTAAGGGTCGTGGGGGAAGGTACATGCCTCCAGCAGAACGGGCAGGAGGTGGTATTCATCTTTGGCAGGTTGCCAGTCTATCTCAGGTGACCTTTTTTTTTTTTTTTTAGAATTTTACTTTACTTTTACCATGTAAAATGTCCTTATAATGATCGGGTTATTAATTTGTAACTGTAAAAATGACCACGTTTAGTTAAAACATTTAAAGCCGTTTTCTTTTTATCTCATTGTGATGTTTGGTGGAAGACTGCACCGAAACAGCCATGCTAAGCATTTCATGCCACTTATTTTCATGGCAAAGAGCTAATTTTAGAGCAAAGACCCAACGCCGCACACCTACAGAACGCGTTAGCGCTGCGGCCCTAAATAACTGTTGAAGGTGCTGTAGTTTACATCCGTCTTTTGCTCTTGAAGTCCTAATGAGTTTCCGTGGGTAATGTGGAGGAGCAGCCATGGGGTGAGGGGCTGAACAAAGTGTTAGTCATTCTGAGAGGGTCTCATACTTCTGGCAAGTGAGCAAAGCTGACACCTCCCTTCCCTTTGAGTTGGCATGAGGTGTCTCTCCGCTCCTCAACAGAAACCAACAAAAGCCTCATACATGCCATAACTAAGAGACATCAAATGTTGGCTCGTCCTGTGGAGAGAATGTGTAAATATATCTTCAAATGTGTCTCTGTGTGTTGTTCCCCCCCCCCCCCCCGCCCCCCTCTCCCTATCTCTTCCACTGTTGTGGGGGAGTTGGGCTGTTGTCACAAAGCACTGTTCCTCCGTTGATCAATACGTTGCCTCTTTCTTTCTCTTTCAGAGGAGAAGACACAGCTGGTTCTAAATGTCGACAAACAGCTTGAAGAAGTCAGAGAGCTGGTACGTCTTTGATCAGTAATTTTCTCCTCTTCCCATTTCCTAAATTATGAATCTGCAGAAGGGGGTGTGGGGGGGCATTTTTCACCGGCACCAGACAGCAGCACCTGTATTATCCTGGCGGTGACATGACATGCAGACATGCGCGCTCTTCACATGGCAGAAAGGAGGCTTCCTCCTCACATGATTACTTTCCAGTAATCTGCTTTTAAGTGACACCCCTATGACACATTTCAAGCCATTATCTCCAGGTGGAAGACTTCATGTTGCTGTTTAAAAAAAAAAAGAAGCAGTCAGCAGACGGAGACAAATTGTTTTTGCAGTTGTCTTGTTATGGCATTGTGATTAGTTTCCTCCAAATCTGCCAAGAAGAGATCTGTCTACCCCGATGCATCAAATGTACCTCATTCTCTGTGACACTGTTGGGCCTATTCATGTCTCTGCAATAAACAAGGGGGGGGGCTCGTATTTGATGGTGTATTTATTTACAGAACCGCCGTACTCTGTTGCCACTTTTATCACAGCTGAGTGAAGAGAACAGGAGCCATTTTATTATTATTATTGCTTTAATAATGTAAAAAAATTAAAAGTTGTTACAGATTTTGTCTTACTCTGTCACAGAAGTTAACTTATTTTGTTTAATATATATATAGATTTTCATACTTTATTCCTTTTGATAAAATAACAGTAAAGTTTTAACTTTTTGGATAATTTGTTCATTTTAAAGTAAACTAAGCAATAAATCTATTCAACGTTCCTGCAGCAGATAAGCCAAGTTTTTTTTTTTTGTTGTTGCTAAAAATCGATTGAAAACGTGAAAACGATGACCTTGAAAGTGTGTTGCCAATAAATGAGCTGCGTCACCTGTGGGTTTCAGCTCGAGCAGATGGACCTGGAGGTGCGAGAGATCCCCGTCCAGAGCCGAGCCATGTACAACAGCAGGCTGAAGAGCTACAAGCAGGAGATGGAGAAGCTCGAGAAAGACTTTGTGAGTACACAAGGCTCGCCACAACATTTGTATTATTAAAACAAGTGCCACAAAACATGATTAATAATAATACATGTAATATAATTTCAAAACGGTGCTTTAAAAGTTAAAAAGTGCACATGCATGCCTTGTTAAAAGTTGCTAGTCAAACCTCACAGGCACCATAGTTTTTGCTCAATAAACCAAACTCTTTTTTTTTTTCCCCCTCTAAATCATTTTTGCGCACACAAACAGTCCAGCACAGAAGCTCAGCGGTGCATCCACAGAGGTTAATTCACAGTTTATGTTTGAACTTGCAAACTGTGCCCATTGAGAGCTGCTTGTGCATGTTTGTGTTGCAGCTGCAGCATCTGGCCTTGTTTAGTAATTCATAAACCACCATATTCCTCTATCAAAGCTTAATGAACAGTTCAATATTTTGGGTCACTTGCTTTTACTTTATATTTACTCCGAGTTGCTCCAGTTCACTTGATCAATAATGTTTTTGAACTGTTTATCCAGTTCGAAAGTCCTCGTTGTTTTCTCTTGAAGATAAAGAGGATTTTTAAATATAATTGAATTAAAATAAAATTATGCATCTTCAATACGTTTTTTGTGTGTGTGCTCCTAACATAATTAACCAACAGTAAACATGCTGACCTTGAGCTTATGTGCACTCTGCTCTGATCCAAAAAAGTTCAATCTGGTCCTCTGGACATTCAAAAAAACAAAAAACAAAACAAAGCAAAAAAATCTAGAAACGTTTCGTCTCTCATCCAAGAGACTTCCTCAGTCTGAGGAGCTGTATTCAGCTCAGTCTCTTAAATAGCAC